ACCAAGGCAGGAGGCAGCATCCGAGACCCCCAAAGCAGCTGTGATGGGAGATGCTGGGGAGGAACAACGTACCCTGGGGCAGACAGGACCCAAGAGACACAGCCCCAGGCCGTCCTTTTGTGCCGCAAGAGCTGTGGGTGCCAGGGAGAGGGCAGTGTCCGGGCTCCCTGGGGGGGCTCACAGTGGTTTGGGGGCCCAGTGCTTTTGGGGTCCTGAGTCATCCCCAGCCCTCATGTGCAAAGCTCAGCTCTGGGCCAGTGCTACGCCCTCAGCAGAGGCTGGAGCTGGCCCCTCTGTGCTGGAGGGAGGAGACATACGGAGCGAGAGTCAGGGCCCGGGGACAAAAGCCTCACCCAGCGATTTGAGGAAGGGAAGGACCTCCCTGGACTGCAGGTATCATCACACCCTTGGCACAAACCAAGGCACCCAAGGGCGAAGTGAAACGAGGCGCATGGTGCAAAGGCAGCTCCAAAGTGTCCCCGCAATGGAGGAGCTGGCAGAGAGGCTCAAAGACTGCAAGAAAGGGACTTAAGCTATGCAGCAGCGCAAGTCCTGAGCCCCAAGGGAGCATCCCAGCACAGTGCAAAAGGATGGACCAGCTCACCTGCGTCCTCCAGCAGGCAAACAGCCCTTGTCATCATCCCTAGTCCCCCCTCCACCTTGGCTGTCCAAGCCCATGGCCCCAGTCTGAGCTCTGAAGGACTGGAGCCCAAGGGGCCACCCTTGCTAGACCACCTGCATGTTGGGACCTTGTGCTTTAGTGTTTGGGGAACCCCCACACCCCCCCAAAAAATGACAGTGCGGCTCAGAGCTCTGAGCCCCTTCCCGAACCTCACTGTGCCAGGGGAGGGGGTACGGCCCTGTGTCAGCTCCCCAGCCCCAAGCAGGGGGTCATCTGGGGGCTCCAGGGTTACCCTGGTTTACGTTCAGTGCCTGGGACAGGATCTAAATTCAACTATGGTTTGGGGGTGAAAAAAAATCAAACATCACACGTGAGAATCAGCTTCTCTCACAGACTGCCCCCACCCTGGGCAGAGGCTTTTACAGCACCAGTTCCCTGCTGCTGCTCCAGGCTGCCACCGAATTACAGGCAGACTCTGGAAAATGGGGACTAGGACCAGCCTATTCCAGCGATGTGCTTTGCATGACATTCCCCAGACAAGAAGGGCTTTATTGCATCCACAGCGAACATCTGTGAGAGCAGAGGCAGGGATACAGGCTGAGCTGAGGCTTTCTGAAGTTCCTTTCCATCCTTCAAAGGGCCAAGAGAGACAACTTCCAGGCTGCAAATCAACCCCATAACTAATGGCAACAACACCGAGCCTCAGCCCAAGCACCCCACCAGCACCGGGAGCAAAGTCTCAGTGTTACGACTCAGCTGGGGGATCCACTGCAAAGGTGAGAGCTGGGAGCACGAGGGAGAGCAGGACGCTGGTCACGCTGCGCTGCCCAGGAGGACGCAGGGAGGGGGATGCAGAGGGCAGCTCAGACATGCAGCGAGGTGGGGGTGAGGCCACACGTCCCCAGGACAAATTCAAGTGTCAAAACCATAACAATAACAATCATTAAAAACAAATAAAATCTAGAAACACAAACTCCCCACCCTATCCCCAAAACGAAACCCCATGACGACAGCACCCAGCTTGCACCGTGAGGTAGCTAAACCAGATCAACACCCGAGAAATACTCTCCCACATGGGAAATGCCAACCCACACAGATGCTAAGACATACACACCTACACACATACACACATATACAGAGCGATGGGATCACAGTCATCCCCCCCTCTCCGGACGCGTGCTGCTGCGCTGCAGCACCCAGCTCCCTCCACCTGCAGCTCGTGGAAGCCTCGCAGCCCCTCAACAGCACATAGCAGTGAGGTGGATGCTCAGCATCATCCAGGATCAGCACTCAGCCCTGGGAAATTACACAGGCACTCGCAGCCTACACACACGAAGGAGCTGGTGGCGAAAGGCAAGGCCAGGCTGACCCCAAGCCCTCCATGAGCAGGTCCCTTCACCAATTCCAGCAGGGAACAGCAAGAGGTTTCGGGTCAGGCACTGGCAGGTCGTGGTGCAGACACCGCTGCACAGGGTATGCCTGGCTGCAGCCAAACACACACACACTCCCCTCCAGCCACACAAAGGTTAAACCGGCCGAGGAATGAGCAGAGAAACCCTCTCCAAGGCAGGACTGGAGACTAACAGCTCCTCCAGCCCCCCTACATCTGAACGTTAATAATTTTTGTTTGCTCCCTCCCATCCTGTGTACAGCCCAGAGCTGTGGCGCTGGCACCGCTTCTGCACCGCCCGTGGCAGGAAGGGTCCTCACCCCGACGCAGCCGCTGGTCCTGGGCTGTGCAAGGCTCAGCGACGATCAGAAAGGACCAGGGTCACTGTCCTGGGCAGGGTCACACTCACACACGCCATCACACCCTCCATCAAGGCAAGGCAGCAGGGTGGGGGTTTTTTCCCTTCAAAAGGCAAAAAACCCCATCGAAACAGAGATGCTTCTGACTTTCAAGTTGCAGAGGAATTCCCACACTCCACCTGGAATGATGTGAACGAGGGCTGGTGGCAAACGATCTGGGGCTGGTCCACGAGTCACCATGGTTGGAGAAAGCAGAGGGAAAATGGTCTGTGCTTTATGGGGCAGGTCCTGGAGCCCCTGGGCTCTGAGATCCCAGTTCAGCGCTGGTGGGATCATGTGGAGAAGTCCTGAAATTTGAGTTCAAATGCTGCTTCTTCCATGACAGAGGGGAAGTGAGGCAGGAGCATTGCTCCCGGGGTCTCCTCGGCAGTCCCATGCCAAGCCCTGCCTGGCCCAGGGCAGGATGGAGCAGAGGATGGTCCAACAGGCCCCAGGAGAGATGAAGGAAAGCTCCAGTGTGAGACCAGAGCCTTGCCAGCCCCTTGCACAGGAGAGAAGAAGGAGGGAGCCTGGAGAAGCTGCATCCTTTGGGCATCACTTCTGGCCAGATGGAGCCCCCAGGCTTTCATGGAGATTGGGCTGTGCAAGATCATCCCCGGCAGGATTGTCCTTCAAGCGTGGGGTGAATCGGGGACTTGTGCGAGACCAGCGTGTGCAGCCCCTTCCTCACCCTGCTCCCGGCCCAGCCAACTCCATCCTGGCCCAGGCTCTGCCCGCTCCGTGCCTTGCTGGGCTCCCTCCGGCTCCCAGACCCACGGGGGCCAATGGGCCAAACCTGAGCTGGTCCCTCCCAGCACGGGGCTGGGAGCAGAGCCTCGGGGGAGGATTTACAGCTTCCAGCTCCCAGTGATGGCAAAACAACATGGGCCACAGGGGTGACACATCCAGCCTTGGCTTCTTTGCCCTGTAACCTCCATCCTCGTTTCATTCCTCCATGTCCAGGGGGTTAACATGCTGCAGGAACCCACCACAAAACCCCTGCTGAGGAGCAAGGTGTCGAGCAGGGCTCAACAGCCCTTCTCTTCCCCGCTGCAGAGAGGGTGCGTGCATGGAGAAGAGCCTGAGAGCTGTGTGTCAGCTGAGTATGACTGGGGTTTGGAGAACATTGAAGGGAACTGCAGCAGGTTTGTCTGGAAGTTGCCTGAAGGAGATCTTCCCAGGCTTGCTGTACCTTCATGGCTGGGACATGGCAACAGAGCTCAGAGGTGCACAGCTCCAATTGCTGGGCACGGGTAGACGGAGGATGGGGAATGATGGGACCACCTGGAAATCCTTCTGCAGCCCCTCACAGCAGAGAGGCTGTCCCACGAGTAATGTCTCCAAAGCAGCAGCCCCTCTATGCTGTGGTCCTGGCCAGCAGACACCAAATGTCCTCATGGCCATGGAGTGGAGAAAGACTCCTGCAGGAACCAGCCCCGGAGCCAACAGGGACAGAAGCAGCCCATCGTGGTGGCAGGAGAGAATTGGGGGTGTCTCTGAGGAGCCAAGGAGCTCTGACCCCCAGAAGTCCTGGCAGGCATTACAGCAAGGTGGGTGAGAAGAGAGATGAAACATTTCCTGGTCATTGAAAAACCATCAAGAAACCTCAGCAGGAGGGAAGGTGGAGCTGCTGGTGCCCCACAGAGCTGCCTCCTCACAGGAGCTGGCAGTGCTCAAAGTACCGATGGGACATTGTCCACCCCGATGGATCAGGCAAAAAGAAATCCTTCTCCCTGGGCTGAGCTCCTGTAGATAATGAGGTCTTGATAGCAAGGGCGAGGAACCCCAACCTTCACCCTCCTGCCATGTCTTCCAGTCTTTTTGCAGTTCCTAGTTTGACCCCGTGGGTAACCTCCTCCCGCTCCAGAGCTTCACTGTCAAGTCGCTGAGAAACAAAGGCGAGAGGGACGGCGTGACCCCGGGGTTCCTGCAGGAGCCCTGCAGCCAGGCTGCAGAGAAGCACTGCGAGGAGAACCGCTCCCCCCAGCCCACGGCAGCATGCAGCCCACCAGACTCCCGGGCCCTTTTCTCTTGGCAGGAGGTTCTGGGGAGCAGGCAGGCCCGATGGGGCTCAGCCTCCAGCTCACCCCACTGGTGTCAACTGGGGACAAAGGGAAATGGTGGCCTCCAGGACTGACCCCAAACACAGGACTGCTGCACCCCTTGGATGAGCTCTAACTTGATGACACTGCAGGAAGCTGCTGTGCTTGGTCCCCCCAGGGCATGGCATGGGCTGCTTCAGGGGCGGCTGCTGACTCCCGCCCCACCGTCCATGCAAGAGTGTGGGTAGGCCACGGCTTGGCACTCGCCAAGAGAAAAAAAAAACAAAAAGCAAACCAATAGAACGTGGGGGTATGGCTGGGACAAAGGGGCAAGTCACTTCTAGCAAAGATTTATCAAGGGGGGAAAAAAACGCAAAATAGTTTCATACCGTGAAGAAGCAGCTCAGACCAGAAAGAAAGAACAAGAGAGGAGCAAAAGTAAGCAACAGAGAGAAAGAGAGAGGGAGAAAGAGATGGAGAGAAAGAGAAAAGGAAAGAAAAGACAGAAGAAGACTGCATGAGCAAGAGAGTCAGAAAGAGCAGGAGGGTCAAGGCAGACTAGTAGCACGGCCCTTTATGGCAAGGACGCGTCGTGGAAGGCAAGGGGTGAGCCCAGGCACGTAATTCCATAACTTTACCCGGCAGTCGCTGTGGCACAGATGGGAGGTGGGGAGGAGGAGAGACAGAGGAAGGGAGAAAAGGGACATGGTCGAAAAGAGGATATCAGAGTCTTGCTGCCAAAGAACTCCCCGAGAGCAGCAGAGGATGCCCAGCCCCGGGGGAGAGGGGTCCCTGCACGGGGAACAACCCGGGGTGCCACCGGACCACAGGCAGGGGACGGCTGGGGGAATAGCTCTGAGCACTGCGGGGGGCAGGCCACGTCGTGGGGCAGGCTAAGGGGGGCAAGAGGAGATGAAGAAGTGGGGGGACTAGAAAGCTGCGGGACTCCCCCCTGCCCTCCCTCCCTGCTCCCTGACCACTCAGCACAATCCCACCCAGGCCCAGGGATGACAAGTCAACCAGGGGTCTCCCACGTCCCGGGGGCTCTGGGGAGCAGAGAGCCCGGGGCTCACCTGGAGGCAGTGAAGATGTGCTTCGAGTTGGTGCAGATGGCATTGATGGGGCTGTCGTGCCCTTTGATCTCCCCAACTGGGGTGAAGGTGTCCACGTTCCAGACTTTGATCATGCCTCCTCGGCAGGCGCTCAGCACCATGGGGCGGCCAGGGATGAAGGCCAGGGAACAGACCCAGTCTTTGTGGGCATTTGGAATTTGCTGTAGGTATGGGGCACAGAGCGGAGATCATGACCAACCTCATCTGCAGCACCACCAGCAGCCTCCTGAACCCAACCTGGGAGGCTCAAATCCTCACCATCGCCCTGGGGCTGATCTGGATCCTGAGGCTAGTGACGCAAAGTTAGGAGGCCAAGGGCATGGATTTAAAAGTCAGGGCTTGGTTTGTCCCTGGGCAGGAGATAACGATCCTGTCTTCGGAGAGGAACACACCACCCAGCACTGAAATTGATGCTGCAGCCTGTGTGCCAGAGGGATCTGGCAACCCTCGGTGCCCTCCAGCACAAACTGATGGGGGTACAAGACCACCTCTCACCTGCACTGCCAGACTCCCAGGAACAGGAGTGCCCTCCCTTGGTGGAGGACACTGGCACCAGGTCCCTGAGCAAAGGTCCCCCCAGACCCCCAGCAGCAATACTCCTCTGCCCCACAGTACCCTGAGGACCCGTGCTGTATGCTCCCCTCCAGACCTGAATAAGTTCCTGCTGCTCCAGATCCCACTTCTTTATGCCGTTGTCCCTGGAGCCACTGAAGAGGATGTCTCCCTGGATGGCCAGGCACTCGATGCCATCGTAGTGAGGGGGCTCAAAGTTGTGAGTGGGGCCAATATTGCCCACCATGCCCTCAGCAATCTCAAACACCTGGAGGAAAAACACAGGGTGAAAGATCCCAGATGGCACTGGAAACAGAGTTGACTCTCTTTTGGAGAGCCTCTGTTTTCTAGGCTCAGGGCACCCAGAGTGATGCCAGGAAGGGGAGTGGGCATTGGCCAGTGGAGGCTTTTTTGGGGCTGAAGTCTCTCCAGGGGTTCTGCCACCATCAGGGGAGGTCTGCCACCAGTGACAGCTCCCATTCTGCTGCATTTAACTCCTGGGGAGCTTTCACACACCTCCATGAGCCAAGCTAACAAGCTTGCAGCTGTCAGAAGAGTGGGATCCTGCTTCCCTCATCATCTTACCATCCCCCTTCACTCCCCTGGCACCAAATTCAACCTGCTAGAAACCAGCAAAATCCTAAAAGAGAGGGGGGCAAGCTCTTGCTGTGCTGGAGGAGAGGACAACCAAGCAGAACAGGGCGAGCTGCTAATCTGGGTCAGCCATAACATGCAAGTACCAGGCACAGAGTCCAGGGGATGAGAGAAATGCAAATCCATCTTCAAAGGTGCATTTGTGTTGGTGGACCAAGCAAAAGGCAAGAGTTGGGTTGAGGAGATACACATGCAGAGGTGAAAACAGAATGTGGGCTCAGATTTCAGGAGAAGAGACCTCAGGGGTTGCCAACATCTGGGTTTCCCTATGGGACACAGGGGTCTGCTCTCTGAGGAGGAGAGTACCTTGACGTAGTGATCTTTGGAGCCTGTGACCACCAGGTCGTGGTTGCTCGCTGTCTGGTTTACCGTGAGGCACATCACAGGCCCAATGTGGCCACTCAGCTTCCCAACGGGCTGCAACCTGCATCCAACAACATGAGCCAGGCAGTTCTGTCCCTGCAGCCCCCCAGTAGACATTGTTCCCTTCAGGGGACTGTGAGCAGGGACACCCCTCTTCCTAGTGACACCAGGGAGGAAGGCAGCTTCGGGGCACGCCAACATCTGGCTACAGAGCCTCAGCTGGAGCGAGGGGTCAGCAGCATGGTGCCCACCTGGCAGGGAAGGGGGCAAGGGCAAAACCAGGGGGTACTGCTGCTCATCCCACATGTTTTTCCCCTTCTCCTAAGCTCTGCCCAGCTCACGGAGAAACACCCCCACCCCAAGTAGCTCCGTTGCTGCTCATCACCCCTTAGGTCCCATAGGAAAAGGTCCTGAAAGTCCTTATTCCAGGCAACTTCCATTGCTGAAAAGGCTTTCATTTTCCTTGGGGGGAGTCATTTCAGGCCCCTCTGAGCAGACAGCATCTGCTTGGCATCCGTAAGCTGTCCTGCCCACCCCAGCACTACCCCCTCACCTGCTCAGCTCCCAGATGCGGACGGAGTTCCCAGCGGCAGCATAGAGCATGGTGCCAGTGGGGTTGATAGCAATCTGGTTGATCTGGTGCTCCCCCTGCACACTGGTGACAGTGCGGGTGGTGGTCCCAGCACATGCGTCCCCAGAGATCACCTGTCCAGAAGATCTAAGGGAGAAAGAGGTCAAGGGAGGAGGATAAGCCACTGAGGCCCCACGGAGGAACCGCACGGGGCTGCTGGCTCCAGGCTGGCACAGGTGGGTCCCACATGGGGGAAAAGCCCTAGAGGTATCACTGTCTCTCTGTCCCCTAGGCCAGTGTCCTGCCTGCAGAGGGACCCAAGGATGTCAGCTGCATGCGTGACAGCTGGTACAGGGAAGCAGCGGTATTTGGCCTCTGCACCAAGGCAGGACCTTCAGGCCAAGGTAGATGAGCTGAGGCTGGATGGAGAAAGGAGCTCTGTGCTGGAGTGAGCGGGTAACCCTGGCCTGACATACTCTCCTAACATTTAAGCCCTGCTCCAGACCTGCAGACCACAGCTACAGCCTGCCCCATGCTCCTTTCTGGTCTTCAAACTCCTCATGAAGATCTGAGTTTCCCACTGGAGAGCCTCTGATTTACTCAGCCACGATGCTGGTAGGGGCTGTGCCTCCTCTACAGAGCTCCTGGCTCTCTTGGCCACCCCAGCAGCAGCTGCAAATCTCTTCAAAGCTCTTTACCCTGAGCCTCAGCTCACAGGTCCCCTCATCCCAAGCTCTCTCCCGTCCTCCCCGTTTCCTAAGGATGCAGCTCTGCAAACTGGCACTAAAGCAGCCGGTACCTGGGCCCCGGCCCCAGCCCCACTAGGACCTGGGACTGGCTTCTGCAAACCCAGAGACGCGCAGAGCACCCAGAGTCCCCGCCTGCCACATACGTGAGGGTGCGGATGCACCGGGCCGAGTCCCGGATGTCCCACACTTTGATGTACGATGTGGACACGGTGAACACCAGCCCCGTGTGGCTGCAGTACTTGATGGAAACCACATTGTTCGGGTGACCCTTGAGGGAAGCAATCTCTTGGCCCGTCACCAGGTTCCACATTTTGCAGCTCCGGTCTGTGGGAGAAGGAACACACCCAAAAATGTCAGGCTGGGAGGGGTCCCTCCAAGGGCATGGTGGCAATACCCCTCCTGAGCATCGCCTCCCCTCACCCACAGGGCCAGAGGAAGGGAGCCAGCCAGCCCAGCACCAGGGCAGTGCAGGACAAGGCTCAACGCTGAGGACAGGAGAGAAGCCCAGAAGGAGCCACCCCCACGGTGTCCAGCACTTCACATATTCCCCTGTGCTGACCTGCTCCCATAGCATCTGCGGGCCAGCAACCCCCACAGCTTCTCTGTCCATCACCCACCTTTGGACCCAGTGAAAAGCAGCTCGTCGGTGGCATCCAGGCAGAGCACAGGCTTGGTGTGTCCTTCTGCCACGGAGACGCACTGCAGTGGGGCTGTCCGGGCATTCTTGGTGCCACCCACCGGGTTAATGATGCCCCTTGCGTGGGAAAGAAAGAAGCATGGTGGGGTGGGTGGAAAGGCACCGCGCTGCAGTCCCAGGGGCACGGGAGAGCAAGAGCTGCCTCACCCCAAGCATCTCCCCTGCCCAGCAGTGCGATGGGCCCCTCCGGCTAAACCTGCCACGTCTGAGCAAAGGGCTTTGTGGAAACCCTGGGAATCTCCCCAGGAGCAGCCCCTGCCCCAGGAATACTGACTGGGAAAGGGAGGGGCTGCCCAGTGGCCTCCGCTCTTCTGCTGAACACCCCGCTCGTCTGCTGACCCCCTCCAGCCTGGCCAGCACAGAGCCAAGGAGCCAGGAGGCCCAGCTCATCGCTCCTCAGGTCAGTTTGGGACAAACTGCACCTCCTGCAGCCTGAAGCTCTGCTGGGATAAATGTTTTGGGGTACCGACACCCAGCACCCCAGTTCCCTGGGGGCTGTCAGCCTCTGGCTGGTGACTTTTGGAGGCAGGGGCCCGCTCCTTACATAAAACCACAACGGTGACAAGGGACAGCACTGGCATTTGCACCCAGCATCCCTGTCAGAATGGCTGAGGAAGCCCTGCACCCACCACTGGCTCTGGGCAGGAGAGGACCTATCCCTGCCAAACCCTCCTCCACAGGATGCCGGCAATCCCCTCCACTTCAGCAGTGCTCGGGGTGCTGGGGACCACCAGCCCTACCCCGCCAGACCCAAGTGTGCATGGCTACCACCAGCAATTCCCAGCTGGGATCCCAAAGCTCAGCCTCCCCGTGGCCACGGGGCCCTGGGTTGTGCTAGTCTCTTCTTATAGGCAGGGAAACCGAGGGACGGGGCTGAAGAAGGGCAAGCCCGAGGCCACATAAGCTTTGCATTAGTCATGAGGACAAACAAGCGCATTAATTAGGGTTTGGCAATCCCATGCATGTGATCGTTCTGTCTCGGTTAGCAGCTGCACTTACAAACTCAAATTCAACAGCCCTCCCCTGACCCCTGGTGTTTCTACCAGTCTCAAGGTGACACTGAATCGAAACGGAAATCCCGGCTCCCCAGGGTGAGATGTTCTCAAAGGACGTTGCGTTGCTGCCTGATGGCAAACTGCCCAAGGTGATGCAGCAGCACAGACACGTCTGGTGCCACCGCCCCAGTGACTGTAGGAACTTGGGGCATGGCCAATGTGAGGGGACACCCTGAGGCTGGAGGGCTGATGTTCCCAAAGGATGAGGGACAGGTGGCCCTCGCGCTGGGATACCTCTGTAGGCAGCAGGGTGCAGTGGGACAAGTCCAGGAGGCTGAGCTCTGCACCACAATCTGACGTGGTTTCTTTGGGATCTCCCCACCCACAGCTCAGCACCAAGGAAGCACAGCTAGGTGTGGGGAACATCTGGAGAGATTTGCCTGGAAGATGCTTGCAAGAGGGACACACTGGGAGCGCCCAGGGTTGTTTGCCCCCTTCCCCAGCATCACACCGTCCCGCTGGAGAGCTGGGATGGGACATGGTGGTGTCATGCTGATGAAAGCCCACCAGAGATGGAGGAGAACATGCTGCCCCCAAAAACCAGCCGGGGCCCACAGGTGAGCCCAGCGCCACGTTTCCAAGGGCTGATCAGAGCAGGAACAGTTTGAACTCACAACCGAGGGGACAGTGGCACATACTGGAGGTGGCATGCCAGGAGGGGACAGCACACACAAGCTGGGAGGGGGGAAGAGCAGCAAGGCACAGGTGGAGCATGCAGGGACAAGGAAGAGCAGGCTCATGAGACAGAGAGGAGGAGAAGGAGAGGAGGAGGACGGGATAATAAACAGAAAGTTGTCTATACCTCAGCACCTCCGAGACAGAGGAATCGCTGTCATCAGACCTAGGGGCAGAAAATTAGCAGGATTATGGGAGAGAAAACCCAGACTAGAAGAGGCAGCAGAGGAGCTGGAGATGGAGGATTGTTATTGCGTCCAAGCCAGGGTAGGGGAGAGAGAGAAGGAGGAGGGGAGGGAGGGTGAAAGAAAAGCACACGTCGAGAACCAGGGGAGAGAGCAGAGGAGCAGGAGGGCACGTGAGGATCAGACAGCAGGTCTCCATCAGGGAACGTCAGCGCTGCTGGCAATGCTCTGAGCCGAGGGCCGCTGCCCGACCTGCTGCAGAGGGAGGCTGGAGCAGCATTTTTGGGTTGGTGCCAGTCCTTCAGCTTCCTGCAAGCCCCCATCCCGCCTCACCCCATCCTGCTCCATAGCCTTTTCCAGTGGTCCAAGTCTGGCACCGCCGTGGTTCCTGGTAGGGCTTAGCCAGGGGCCAGGAGTGCCAGCTCCTGCAAGGGCCAGCTCGGTGAATGGACACAGCAGGACAGGGCGAGGGTCCAGCATGGCCCTTGCAGAGCATCTGCTTCCTCATGGAGAGGAGCAGGGAGCAAAAATGGTGTCAGGAGCCGACCCAGGTCCTGTGCTCCTGGACCCCACCATGGGAGCTGATACGCGCCGTTTGCTGTTACAGTACAGGTCCCCCTTGCTCAGACCCTCCCGCCCCGCCAGAACTTACTTATCCAAGGCAGAGCCCTGGCTCTGGTTGCTCGTGAGACGAGAGAAGACGTTGCGGTCGTTGCGTGGACGGGTGGGTGGGGATGAGGGAGGCGTGAAGCCAACATCTGGAGGCCTGAGCCAGGAAGGATTAGAGGGACAAATGACTTGGGAATTGCTCACCTGGCAGCCGCCTGGCACACCAGGGCCCAGCAAGAGCCAGCCCAGCCAGCATCTCTCCCTGCTTGTCTGGGCCACCCAGCCTCTCCCTGCCCATGTTGCCATTTCTCCAGCTCCCAATCTCACCTGGCAGGTTGCCCACGGTCATAGGATTTCCTCCTTGTCAGAGGTGAAGTGTCCGAGCCACGAGATTGCCTGGGACTAAAGCAAGTGAAACAGAGCACCGTGAGTGCCTGCCCGCCCTGCTGGGCTCCCTCCATGCTGAACACTCATGTCTTTCCCCAGCAGAGCAAATGGCAAAGTTGGGCTGCCCTGGAGTTACAACCACAACATCAGAGGATGCCTCGAGTCATCCCATGAGCGTGAAAGCTTTTGGCAACCCCATAAGCCTCCAAGAAGGCTGGCAGCCCAGGGCAGTGAGTCGGGAACCCTCGCACACCCCCCTTCTTTCCCTTCTCCTAGAGTACCCTTCTCTCCATCTGCAGAGGACAGCAACATACTCCCAGACACTCTCCAAGTCCCACTGGAGAAATCCACCATTGCTTGCTGCAGACAAGCCCAGATAGATGCAAAATTGGGCTCACCTTCACTGCTCTGCAATTCCACAGTTAGGGCACAGCTTCCCACCTGCTGATCCATGCCTTCACAAGCCTCCCAACACCCACAGACCCATACTCACAAGGTGCTTCCTCGCGTGGGCAGGCTGATGGTGCGCGACACCTTCTCCTTGTAATAGGGGTCTCGGATGGAGAAGCTGATCCCATCCTCTTTGATCTCCATGAGGGATGCCAAGGATTTAGTGATGTTCTTGGTGGAGACGTCCAGTGTGGGTCCTAGACACTCAGCCGACACTGCCTTCATCTGCCCTGAGAGCTTGGGCTCTCCCTAAAGCAGGACAGAGGGCTCAGGCACAGGCAGCACAGGGGGAGGACAGCAGGAGCAGCCAGAGAGCTGTGGGGTGGAGCCACTCGTGCTCTCTGGCCACAGGAGGTTGAGTTCCCCCGGATCACGCTGGGATGCCCACCATGCTCTAAGCAAATGTGACAGCTTGTGCAGAACAACAGGCGCTTTCCTCCACCTTTGCCCACCATGGATGCAGCACTGCACAGGGACCTCCTTGGTACCCACCCAAATCTGGAGGGTGTTGGCGGATGAGGTGGATGTTTCCCAAGTCTCTGGTGCTTCAGAGGACCACGGAACCAGAAGACCTGGGTTCCCCCTTGCCTAGAGCTGCCTCCACCCGGAGACCAGCCATACTGCCTTATACCAAGCCTGGCTCTCCAAGGGTCAGACTGCAGAGCAGAGCCCTGGAGTATTGCTGAACACATCCCTCCATCCCTCTTCCCTGTGATGGGGCCACACAGAAAGGCCAACTAACCTTGAACTTGAAGTCATCCTGGCTTGCTGAGCCCTTCATGGTGAAAGACTGGGAGATGCTGCAAAGAGAAGGGAACAAAGATGGATCTTCAGTGCCACACTCTTTTCAGAGAGATGGCTGCCACCAGCCCACTAGACTCCTTGGGTCACCCCCTGCTCCCCAGCACCCTTTCTCCAAGAGATGATCTCTGCCAGTGTCTAAGAGACATCTCTGCTCCCCTCCCCAAGCGCTGGGCACCACAGGAAAGCTTAGGTGGGGGTTTGTTCATCCACATCCACCTGCAAGGTCCCATGGGTGGCCCCCGACATCCCACC